AAAAAAAAAAAAAAAAAAAAAAGAAGTAAAGGTGGAGAGATTTGGGAGGCACCTGAATAGAGGTCAAAGCTGAAACCTCAAAGTATATATACATTTTTAAAATACATTAATAAGAAAGCAGAGGACCAAGCAGGAGCATAGAAGACAGGGATTTATTGAAAGTTGTAAAAGGGAGAGGACAAAGAAAGGCGTAAGAAAACCAAGATAGTGGTGTAATGAGAGCACGGGAAGATATTTTTAAGCTTGATGTTTCTCAATATCAAGTTGAATATGACCAGAAGGATGCCAAAGGCAATTCTAAAGTGTGTTTTGAAGATTTAATGGTTCATGGGTTAAAAATGTGTATATGCTGAGGAAAATATCCCTTGTCCTCTCAAGTTTTTTGCCTTTCGGTTTAATTATAGATGATTTGGGCTAGCGGAAAATGATTGAGCTAGCTATGCTCCAGTTCTTTCCCTTCTTTTGGCATGAGCATGAGGAATTCTAAGTAAAAATAATTATTAGATAATATTAATATCTCTATTATACTATATTGTATGGTATAATATCTCTATTATACATGGGGCTTTTTCTTTATTACCAAAGACAAAGATAATGTCATCTCATGTATCCCTTCAGCTAGTTTTTAATTCTCCCTAATGATGAATACTTGAATACAAAGAAATTTCTGGCCTTTTATTTTTCTGAACTCAGGAGATGGAGGTGCCTCAGGAATATTTATTTGAATGAATTTAATGCATTTTTTCCTGTGTATTTACAGATGAGACATGAGTGGGTTTGGTTGGATTCTGATCAAGATTATCCCAATGACTCTGAGTTGAGCAATGATTGCAAATCCCTCTTCAGCTCATGGGACTCCAGTCAGGATCTTGATGTGGGCAGCTGGAGGGAAACTGAGGATCCAGAGGCTGAGGAACTAGAGGAAAGCAGCCCAGGGAGAGAAACTAGTGAACTGCTTGTTGGGGATAGAGGCAGTGAGGAATCTCAGGAAGAGGCAAAGCAAGTCAGCCACCAGAACCTCCTCCACTTTCTCTCTGAGGTAACAGTGAGCTGTTATTTCCAAAGCTGGAAGCCTCAACTTTCTAAGAGAATGCTTATCCTTACATGCTTCTACCACTTTTAATATTGTTTACTAAAATATAAGCTCCACAGTGTCAGGGACTAAGTTAATTGCTGAGTCCCCAGCACTTTGTGCCAATAGAGAATATGCACTAAATACATACATCTTGGGCTGGGTGCAGTGGCTGATGCCTGTAATCCCAGCACTGTGGGAAGCCAAGGCCAGTGGATCGCTTGAGGTCAGGAGTTTGAGACCACCCTGGCCAACATGGTAAAACCCTGTCTCTACTAAAAATACAAAAAGTAGCCAGGCGTGGTGGCATGCACCTGTAATCCCAACTAGGCAGGAGGCTGAGGTGGGAGAATCGGTTGAACCCCGGAGGCAGAGGTTGCAGTGAGCCAACATCACGCTACTGCACTCCAGCCTGGGCGACAGAGTAAGACTCCGTCTCAAAAATAAAAAATAAATACATGCTTTTTGACTGAATTTCTAATACCTCAGTCATTAGGTGCTTGGGTCATAAGGACTGCTTTATGGGTATCCTTGTAATTCATGCTTTTGGAGTTGTGGAAAGTCATACTTGCCCAAATTTTCCTTGAAGCTTAAAGTGTTGTGACTTTAAGGTAGTATTTTAAAGTCATTACCTTGGTTAAGGACTGAGGACCAGAAATAAACAGAATTGGACAGAGAGTTATACATATGCTGTTACTGAACACATTTAGGAGAGCTTAGGTCAAGATCAGCAAGCATCCAGTTCAAATGTTACTACTTCTCTCTACAGTGTCTGTGGTAGACAAAATTTTCAACACTTTATTCTAAACAGCCACTGT